TGATGATGCACAGTGATGCATGGGGATGCATCATGATAAACGGTTATACATGGGGATGCACGGTTATACATCGGGATGCATGATGATGCACGGTGATACATGGGGATGCACGGTGATGATGACGGTGATGTATTAAGACGCATGGTGATGATGCATGGGGGCGACTGATGCGGGGCATGAATATGCAAATCTGGCCTAATTGTCTGAAATTTTCTCTCTAAGGACTTGTGCTTATTATTGTATGCAAGACTGATCTGCTTTGATCTTACGATGCGAAAGTATGCTTCAATTATCAATTATCAAGCTTTTGTTAGTGGATTGTAGCTCTGCACATAGAAAGTTACATTTATCATTGATGAAACTTCACCGACAGCACAACTCAGTCCAATCTATATCAAAAGAAGATCGATTTGTTAACCAAATGGGAAGAGCCCTCTGCGGTGAGCGTCCGAGAGACCACGCGGGAACACCTCCCATCTGACACGCCGCGTCGGCTATCATTACTTATTTAAATCTGCTAACGTAGATGTGGGATTTAAGAACAACAAAAGCAACACAGTATTTGTATTCTCGAATACACGACACACACAATTAAGCACTTGCACACTATGGACCAGCAACAGATTAAAACAATGACACAGTTTATATCACGTAGAGGTGAAACAATGATACAGTTTTATATCCCACAAAAGTGAAACAACGATGCAGTTTAATATCCCATAGAGGTGAAACAATGATGCAGTTTTATATCCCATAGAGGTGAAACAATGATGCAGTTTTATATTCCAAAGAGGGGAAACAACGATGCAGTTTTATATCACATAGAGGTTTCGCAACTTTCAATTTGATTTAACGTAAAAGGATAAGCGTGGTGAATTGAAGTCAGTTTAAACTATCTGGACAGATATCTGGACTTACTTCGGATGATCCGGTTGTGCCATCAGTGTCCCCTCCGAAGCGTATTTTGTTGCACTGTTTCGGGAGTTGTTTGTTCACAAATGCACGACCAGATCACTCAGAGTGAACATTTCTGATATAAATAATTCGAAAACTTCGTAGAAGTGTGCCTGATTTCTGATTATGTGGCCCAAAATATCCCAAATGTGAATAATAACACTGTGAGTAGATCACGGTTGTCTTTTCTTATTCCCGCGGTGACCTTGCCCTTTGTTCGAAGCTGTTCGCTATTTCGCTCGGTCAGATACCATAGAAAGTCCACTCGTTTCGTAAAAATGGTATCTAACGAGAATGAGTGTAGTATTCTCTATATATCCCATAGAGGTGAAACAATGTGATATTTTTATATTCCATAGAGGTGAAACACTGGTATAGTTTTATATTCCATAGAGGTGAAACAATTGTATAGTTTTATATTCCATAGAGGTGAAACAATGATGCAATTTTATATTACATAGAGTTGAAACACTGGCATACTTTTATATCCCATAGAGGTGTAGCAATGCTGCAGCTTTATATCACATAGACATGAAACACTTGTATAGTTTCATATCCCTTAGAGGTGAAACAATGATGAAGTTTTAAATCACTTAGTGGTGAAAATTATTTTTACACAGTTTTATATCCCTTTGAGGTGAAACACTGGTATAGTTTAATATCCCTTTGAGGTGAAACACTGGTATAGTTTTATATCCCTTAGAGGTGAAACAATGATGCAGTTTTAAATCACTTAGAGGTGAAACACTGGTATGGTTTTATATCACTTTGAGGTGAAACACTGGTATAGTTTTATATCTCTTTGAGGTGAAACACTGGTATAGTTTTATATCCCTTAGAGGTGAAACTGGTATAATTTTATATCCCTTAGGGGTGAAACACTGGTATAGTTTTATATCCCTTTGAGGTGAAACACTGGTATAGTTTAATATCCCTTTGAGGTGAAACACTGGTATAGTTTTATATCCCTTTGAGGTGAAACACCGATATAGTTTTATATCCCTTAGAGGTGAAACACTGGTATAGTTTTATATCTCTTTGAGGTGAAACTGGTATAGTTTTATATCCCTTAGGGGTGAAACACTGGTATAGTTTTATATCTCTTTGAGGTGAAACTGGTATAGTTTTATATCTCTTAGGGGTGAAACACTGGTATAGTTTTATATCCCTTAGAGGTGAAACATTGGTATAGTTTTTCACCCTTTCATACACCCTTTATATTTTTGTCCTGTTTGAATGGATATAGAAGTAATGCGCTTTCGGTTCGCACATTCCATTTAGCGCCGTCAAATCTATAAGTAACATTGCTATGCATTGAAAGCATAATATTTATGCTCTAAATAGATCGTGTTCCTTTGCAAACACTTGACAATCCTCCACTTTAAACTATTGATGGAGACTTCATCCGCAAACGACTTTGGTCGTTGAATGACCTGTGCCTTTGGGTACATTGCAGGCCATTTGACATTGAAAGAATTCCCCGTCTCCTGGAATATTTGTACATTCTCTTCTGAATGATTATGAAGCCACAAGGTGCGTTCATGGGCGTGTATAAATAACAATAATGCTCTAATGGGTGGTGTGGTTTGGCGTAACCTTGGCAACCAAACATCACTGGTGCCATGGATAGCCTCTTTATGCAGACGAAAAGCCGTAGATGGTTGAAATGGCCCTAGTGGATTGTGAGACATCAAGGACCATGTTATGCAAACAGTTCAACATTTAAAAGTTTCCCGATAAAAAAAACAACCCTTTCTATGATCTTATAAACCTTGTGTGAAGTCATGCTGCTGCTGTAGGCAATTCTGAAACATGTCTGTAAGAACTTGGGCAAGACCAAGATCAAAGAACAGTTGACTGATCGTTCTATCTACGGTAAATAGAGATGACAAGCTCAATCAAAAAGAGTTTGTTTGGTTATATTTCAGATGTGATATAAATACATAGACAAAACATGTTGTTCGTTTGTTTGCTGTTCAACGCCGCACTCAGCAATATTCCACATCAAAGTCGTTGGTCCAGAAAGAGATACAAGTTAGTCTAACATGTTGTTATTTAATATTGAAACCAATGACACTGAGCGGGTTTGTTGGCGCCTATTTACGTTTCCAAGCTTCCGAACGAAGGTATCCATGTCCCTATATACCACAACACACCCCATAAAGCGATGAAGACTTGCATAGTGAACCAACTAGATGTCTTACCTCAAAAGATAAGTCTCTTAAAACTTTGTTTAAGACGGAAACATCCATGTCGGTAAGATTCGTCGTGAGACATTGCTTTAGGATGGTAAATATGGTAAATATGAGGTTTTGAGATATGCTTAAATGGTGTTTGATATTTTCCCACTTGCAGACAACCAATTGAGTCTTGTACTTTGTGCTTTCTGGAAGGGCGTCATCATTCTTCTGATTTATTGTTTTAGAAGCCATGGCAGCATCTCAGAATCTTTATGACAAACACTCCGTTGGGATAGGGTCCTGAGAGACCATGGGCATCAGCCCTGTGTCATGCAACCTGTATTGATACATACAGGTGAGGTGAGGTGAGGTGAGGTCTAACGTCGCGTTCAAGATTATTGTACTTCTATAGCGAAGTACATGCACGTGTGTGGGTGTGTGTGGCTTCTTGTACCAGTCCGGACTGATGCCGATTTATGGTGCTAGCACACTGAGATATTATGCCGCAGTTTCACATGAATACTCCGCTCAGAGACAGTATACTGACTCCGAGCCGACCAGTAATTTCTTCAGCCCCTTAATGCCTAGCGCCAGGCAGGGTAACAACAAGTACACCATCTTTTAACGTCTTTTGGTATGACGCGGACGGGTATTGAACCCCAGACCTTCCGCTCACCGGGCGGACGCTTTACCACAAGACCACGGAGGCGATTTTGATAACGACAGTGAATTCTCGAGAAGTAGAAACCTAAACGAAGATACATCTCTTATCCTTATTTTATATCTGATAAGTAGAACATTTACATAAATTTCCTTGGTCTCAAGAGACATATTAAATAGTAAAGCTGACTTGACAAGTAGAATATCAGTGGTTGTAAAGGCACTTATGACGAAGCCGCCTTTACTCAAATGAGTAATTACCAGACAATTGCAAGTTCCCACTCGACACTAATTGCCCTGTCACTGCATTGGGACAGCCTTTGCCAGAAGAAACAAACTAATATCCCCGAGAAAAATATACTCGTGTTGTTTTTGTGGATGCAGATTACAAGAGTACATGCATGATGTTGTACACCGCATACAGGCAGATCGTGTCTGAATCAGACAAACCAGGGGTTGATAGCGTGAGCAATGAGCCAAGCTGTCGGGGTAGTCTTAAGCAGGTCACAGTACAACCACCCGAGAAACATCTGCGGGGACTATTCCACCCGGAATACACCCGGAGAACAACAGATGTGTTATGGAAAGGATATATTGATATTCGTTCACAAAGCATACAACATATATAAGATAGGACGTCTTCAACCACCAACGCACAGTGCCTATATACAATTTATAAAATTACCAGGTATTCACTTGGAAAGATTGGTTTGCAAATGGCAAATGTCTTACCGCCTTAATATTCAAATGAGTGAGTGAGTGAGTTGGGTTTAACGTCGCTTTTAACAGTATTCCAGTTATATCACGGCGTGTCAGCTTAATGTGGGAGGAAAGCCCGAAGTGATGCAGGTCCCAGACGTTTTACCACTTTGGTGAAGCCCACGAGCAAGCGTATAGTACCGACAAACCTAGAAACATAATCGGGGCGAACCGGGATTCGAACCCACAATCATAGGTTTCTGGCGTGCCCAAGGGACGCCACTCTGCACAGCGAATCGCGGCGCCATAGACGACTGGGACACCCGTGCCCCCGATATTCAAATGAAGTAAATATTGCACTTGTATATTTATAGAGTCGTCATTGTTTTGAGAAGGACAATGAGTTTCTGTGACTATCCCAGATAGTAGCATGGGATGAATAAATAATATGTGCAATGAAAGTCATTCGACGGATTGCAGTGACAATGACAAGTGGTCTAATCGATGAGCTGAACACATGGGGAAGCCAAGTCCCAGAGGAATACACGATGTGATGTAGATGTACAATGTATATATTCACTGTGATCACAGGACAGGTGACAGTGTGACCAAGCGGCTCTGTGTCGAGGACGTGTCTATCTTCAACATTAGACCACTGACAGCGCTGATGAAGGTCTTGACCAGTGGTCATCCTATTTGTACTTCTTGGATTTGATGCCTCTTGATAACACCGGGATTTTGTTGGTGTCACGAAGGTGCATTCAGGTGTTGTGATTCCGACTGACCCGTGTTCAGACTCTGGAGTTCCGGCCCTGAAATATAGAATATAAATAGCGTATAGAAAACAAATAAATTAAATTTCGATGTCATCATTGGATGAACCTGTCCGGAACATCAAAAAACAGCGGTGTCGTCAAGCATCTGGGAACTGGTCATCATGAAGGACACCTTAAAGGATGAGGCGACGCACTTCTCGGAAAACTGGTCGGGGCACGGCGTCAATCGCATTGCTATATCAAGTAACATCATCAAGAAACTTTTCTATACAGCTGTGTTTCTCACCTGTGCCGTGCTATGTGGTATTCAGATACACTCGTTGTTCAGCAGATACTACTCATACCCCGTCAACACAGTGATAGAGGTAAGTGCAGGGAGGTACCGATGCCTTTAAATTTCCCGACACTTTTGTCAATGGTTATATACTGAAAAACAAAAGTTCCTGTGACACTGTATAAGATTTAATGCAAAGATATGTTTTTCACCAAATCTGAAACAATTTCGGTTTGCAACAGATAAAAGACTCCTGTAAGTGTTGAAATGGTTTAATTTGCTATACTGACTTCAGAAAATGTGTGATTTCATTAAAAAAAACATGAGCATGCCAAAGTGTCAATTCACAAATTAATAGCGTGTGTGTCTGCCTCTGGTTGCGATGCAAGCAACACATCTTCGTCTCATGGAATGGACCAGGCGTCGCACAAAGTCCTGTGGGATATCTGTCCATATCTGCTGGAGCATGTTTCGAACTTCCTGGAGTTCCCTGTGGAACACGTGGTTGACGTCGAAGGCGCCGATCCATCTCATCCCACATATGCTCGATTGGTGAGAGATCAGGGGAGCGAGCCGGCCAGGGGGTGATATTCACGTTGTTTTGTTGAAGTGAATCCTGAACAAGTCGAGCAATATGAGGCCGGGCGTTGTCATGTTGAAAGGTAAATCCTGAGCCATGACGACACAAAAACGGTAGAACAACAGGGCCGATGATCTCGTCGCGGTAGCGCTGCACATCTTAGTCGACGACGTTCGGTTTGTGAAGATATTCGTCAAAGGCCAGGGATGCTTCTTGCAGTCACTGTTGCTGGCTGGAATCGATTTCGTAGGTGTGTTGTTCGAATCCAGTTGTCTTGTCGATTATTGGTTACGCGTGGCCTGCCACTCCGAGGATGGTCTCTGACAGCATTCGTCTGTTGCCAACGGTGCCATAAACACCAAATGGAGTTTCTATGGACGTTAAATTGTCTTGCAACATTACGTTGACTCGATCTTGCTTCAAGCATACCAATGGCTCGCAGACGCTCATTTTCGGACAAGTGTGGCATTTCGTAATGTTGAATAATTGCGTAATTTTGTTGTTTTTCTGAGTGATTGTTGTCAGCACGATGCTAAACAATGCATATGGAATCCCGTTAAGGCACATTCTTGGGTAGTGAAATGCATGGGGCTTCCATAAAAGTCAACTTTTGCATGGAATGCATGCTTTTCTGTAGCAGATGCGGTTTTATGACTTGATTCCATACATGTACTACAATATTGAAAACCAAACTTTACTTGCTTGAAAAATACACTAAAATATTGGTGCCACAGGAACTTTTGTTGTTAAGTATAGAAATATTATCAAATCTTGATCAAGATAAATAGGTTGAACAAATGTATGTCTTCAAAATATTCTGTTTCATGATAACATAAACTGACGTCAAAGAGAAAGTACGCCAAGACTTGGGGAGCCGAATGAAGCAAATGGACACCATACATGTAATGAGTGTAACGTTTCAGCATCAAATGAACACAATTTCACCCCCTAGAAGCAGACGTTTTAAGAATAAAATGACATCATCCACATTATTTTTGCCAAAACACACATGTGTGACAACAGACTTGTTGCAAAATCGGATGTTTGCTATTGAGACCACCTCGTGCATCAGTGCCACAAGACGCCGTCGACCCGATGACGTTAGCTGACGACTGATTGGTGGCGCTGGTCGCCTTCAGGCGTGCCTGTAGTAGATCCCACAAATGTTCGATAGGGTTCATGCCAGGAGATCACACAGGCCATGGCAAAACATTAACGTTCGTGTTGTGGAGGAAATCCCATGTCATCCTTGCAGTGTCTTGCAGTGTCTAATGTTATCTTCCTGGAAGACTATACCGCGTGGCTGATGTTGGACAATTAGCAGCACAGCGGGTTGCAAAACATCATACCGATACCTCTGTGCAATCATGCTGCTTTGAATGATAACCATCCTCGTGTTCAAGTCTCGGATTCAGGTCTCGGGTTCAGGTCTCGGGTTCAAGTCTCGGGTTCAAGTCTCGGGTTCAGGTCTCGGGTTCAAGTCTCGTGTTCAAGTCTCAGGTTCAAGTCTCGGGTTCATGTCTCGGGTTCAGGTCTCGGGTTCAAGTCTCGGGTTCAAGTCTCGGGTTCAGGTCTCGGGTTCAAGTCTCGTGTTCAAGTCTCGGGTCCAAGTCTCGGGTTCAGGTCTCGGGTTCAGGTCTCGGGTTCAGGTCTCGGGTTCAGGTCTCGGGTTCAAGTCTCGGGTTCAGATTCCTTCCCACACCTGGACACCACCGTCCCAAATGGCTCAACTTCGGCTAATAGGCGTTTCCCTCGACGTCTGTACACATGGTGCCGACGTCTGTACACATGCTGCCGACCATCAGCTTAAAACAACGAATACCTGCTCTCATATTTTTGGTTTGTATTTTGTTTAACGCCGCAGCTATATGACGGCGGTCTGTAAATATTCGAGTCTGGACCAGCCACTACAGTGACTGACATCATGACCATCGATCAATGCAATTGGGCTACGATGACATGCATCAGCCACGTCGGCGAGCCTGACCCTCCGATCCCGTTACGGCAAGCATGGGTTGCTGAAGACCTATTCTAACCCGGATATTCATGCGTCTCTCTCATGAGAGAACAGAACTCGTCCACAGTCTCAAACCTGCCAACACCGAACTCGCCTGGCCTGATCGGGTATGTTCTAAGAATCGCCGTGGCACTCTGTGTTAACTGACACGATGTCCGAGTGCCGTCGATGACGTTGCGGTCGCGTGGATGAAGCGGTTTCGGAGATGAAGTCCGTGGATATAACGGTTTTCAATGGGCGTGGTCACTTTGGGGGCTTCCTCTCCTCGTCTGTTGTCTGTCGTTATGTCGTTACCTGGTTATGTCAACACAGGTGCAACCGAATGTTCTTATCATTTGGGTATGCGTGGCTCCCTCCTTCGCCTTATTGCTGTTGAACAAGGCATATCATTTGTGCACTCACATTTCGTTCTACGAGTGTAGACGACGTTTTCGCAAAATGCACGTTTTTCATTCAAAACGCTTTATTTCATCGAATACATAAGGTTGTATTTTCATCTCTATGGTTTTTACTTTATAAGGTAATCAGACAAAATACTTCTTGGTGTACTTTTTTTCTGGGAGTCCGTTTATATAGGACAACCACAAACTAGATTGTTCGAATCTATTTACTTTTCTTACGAAACGATGCTTATGTTTCTAGTGTTTTGTTTTGTTTTGTTTGTTGTTGTTGTTTAACGCCTCGTTCAGCATTATTCCAGTTATATTGAGGCGGTCTGTGTATAAAAATTGAGTCTCGAACAGACAATCCAGTGATTGATATTGTGAGCAACGATCCCCGCCGACACGCAATCACCGAATCTGACCACCCGATACATTCAGTCAATCTTACGACCAGCAAAGGTTGCTGGAGACCAATTCAGCCGGCGCTGAACAGCAAACAAACAAGCAAAAGGACAAATTTCGAAATTGTGTTTCGCAGTCATTCGATAAGGCAAGTTTATCATATAAATCGTACTATATTATTCCAAAAAAGGATGAATATTATCAACATTTGGTTCGGTTGGGCTATAAGTACAGAGATTAACATTTAAAGCATACATGTATTTCAAATACTAGTCACAGTGTTTTACCGTTAATAGGTGCTCCATGCTCCCTTAGAGTTCCCTGCTGTTACCATATGCAACAAGAATATCGTAAAACTTTCAAAACTTTCTGAAGGAGGCTCGGTGTTGGAGCGAATTGTGAACAAATCGGAGGAAGCGTTAAATAATGGCGAGATTTACGGAAGTGGAAGTGGTGATTGGAGCGGCAGTGGTTCCGGAAGTGGAGATTGGAGCGGGAGTGGTTCCGGAAGTGGAAGTGGTGATGGGAGCGGGAGCGGAAGTGGTGATGGGAGCGGGAGCGGAAGTGGTGATGGGAGCGGGAGCGGTTCCGGAAATGGAAGTGGTTCCGGAAGTGGTGATGGGAGCGGAAGCGGTTCCGGAAGTGGTTCCGGAAGTGGTGATGGGAGCGGGAGCGGTTCCGGAAGTGGTGATGGGAGTGGGAGTAGTTCCGGAAGTGGTGATGGGAGTGGGAGTGGTTCCGGAAGTGGTGATGGTGATTGGAGCGGCAGTGGTACTTATAACGACTACAACGACAACTACAGCGGCGACCTCAGCGGCGACAACAGCGGCGATTACAGCGGTGACCAAGAACCTGATCTCTATAACGTGAGTATCATTTAGATTGTAATACAAGCAATACGATCAATATTTCACATTGTTCCCTTTATAATAGTGACACTTGTTAAATGTTATAAAGATATTTAGATATAAAACAAAATATATACGATTAAGCAAGCAGTAAGCACTACATCACGAAAGCTTGTAAACTTGTGTGGACCAGACAAACCAGTGATTGATATCATGAGCAACGTCCCACCATTAAGGGTTGTGCCAGAAGAGTATGTTATTAAATATTTAATCTTGACGATTAGTTGTTATTTATGTCATATCGGCTGCCGTCGTGGCCATACATAACATCACAGTAAATGCCCAGTCCTTGCAAAGTGAGCAGTTGGAGCTGTATACAAGATACATCAGAGTTGTTGTATCAGCCTAAGGGTAACTAGGAGCTACTAGGGATCCCTTCGGAGCTACTAGGAATCCCTCAGGAACTACTAGAAATCCTTCGGGAGCTAGTAGGAATCCCCCAGGAGCTACTAGGAAACCCTCAGCAGCTACTAGGAAGCCCTCAGCAGCTACTAGGGATCCTGCAGCAGCTACTAGGAATCCCCCCAGGAACTAATAGGGATCCCTTCGGAGCCACTAGGAATCCCTCAGCAGCTACTAGGAATCGCCCAGGAGCAACCAGGGATCCCCAAGGAGCTACCAGGAATCCGCCAGGAGCTACCAGGAATTACTCAGCAGCTACTAGGAATCCCCCAGGAGGTACTAGGAATCCCTCAGCAGCTACTAGGAATCCTGCAGCAGCAACTAGGAATCCCCCCAGGAACTACTAGGGATCCCTTCGGAGCTACTAGGAATCCCTCATAAGCTACTAGGAATCCCTTCGGAGCTACCAGGAATCCGCCAGGAGCTACCAGGAATTCCCCAGCAGCTACTAGGAATCCCCCAGGAGCTACTAGGAATCCCCCAGGAGCTACTAGGAATCGCCAGGAGCGACCAGGAATCCCCCGGGAGCTACCAGGAATACCCCAGCAGCTACTAGGAATCCCAAAGGAGCTACTAGGAATCCCCAGGAGCTACTAGGAATCCCCAGGAGCTACTAGGAATCCCTCAGAAGCTACTAGGAATCCCATCAGAGCTACTAGGAATCTCCCAGGGGCTACAAGGGATGCTTCCGGAGCTACTTGAATCCCTTCGGAGCTGCTATGAATCCTCAGGGTCTACCAGGAATCCCCAAGGAGCTGCTAGGAATCCCTCAGCAGCTACTTGGAATCCCTTCGGAGCTGCTAGGAATCTTCAGGGTCTACCAGGAATCCCCCAGGAGCTGCTAGGAATCCCTCAGCAGCAAATAGGAATCTCCAAGGAGCTACTAGGAATCCCCAAGGAGCTGCTAGGAATCCCTCAGGGTCTACCAGAAATCCGCCAGGAGCTACCAGGAATACCCCAGGAGCTACTAGGAATCCCTCAGCAGCTACTAGGAATCCCACAGGAGCTGCTAGGAATCCCTCAGCAGCTACTAGGAATCCCCGAGGAGCTCTTAGGAATCCCCAAGGAGCTACTAGGAATCCCAAAGGAGCTGCTAGGAATCCCTGAGGGTCTACCAGAAATCCACCAGGAGCTACCAGGGATACCCCAGGAGCTACTAGGAATCCCTCAAGAGATACTAGGAATCTCCCAGGAGCTACCTGGAATCCCCCAGGAGCTCACCTAAATGCAATCATACATACAACACACGCAATCGTGCACGTATAGAAAACTATACGAAAACTATCGAAACATACATAAAAGATTAAAATGAGAGCTGATTTAACATATGCTATAGATAATCATTGTAATACACTTGATATTGTTATCAACGTTCCATATGTGGCCACACTAATTAGGACGTGTCTCCATATGTGTTGTTTCCCTATGTCCACATATCAACCGTGATGACACCATTGTCACAGCGATGGGAGCGGTGAGGTAACCTAGTGGTTAAAGCATTTCTGCTGCTCCCCGCCGAGATATTGCTGGAATATTGCTAAAAGTGGCGTAATACCATACTCACTCACACACAGCGGTGTTTATCAATCAACTATATGCAAGTACATACACTTGTAGATTTGCACAAGACAAGAGACACAAAACAAGTTGATCATAAATCAAATGTCAAAAAGAATATTTGCGGACAACAGTATTATGGCATTCACACTGTAGCATCATATACTACTCTGAACGAGTTATAGAACACCCACACTTATAAGACTATGTTTTGCAATACAGTCAACCATGACTGATTAACCATAGACATATAAAATATTCCGTTGTTCATCGACTTCTTTTGAAAAGTATATATTAATTTTAGATTTTAACCTGATTTATTTGAAAGTTATTGCCATGACGCGCCACGCGCTGACGGCGTGATGGTCCAATTAAACTCCTAAATAGGGTCATAAATCAATCAATTACTGTTCACGCAGAAACCAGAGGATTGTTTTAAAATCATCTACGTTTGTACCGTTAAATTGTGTTTCTAAATAAAAAGTGAGAAAGGTTCAGCATTCCCCCAATAGGTATACAGTAAAGTACGGTTATAACGAACTCAAAGGGACTACTTATTTTACTTCGTTATAACCGTTGTTCGTTATAAGCATATATACAGTATAACAACAGCAACTAGTCGGGACCAAAAAGTAAGTTCGTTATATCCGTCAGTTCGTTATAAGCGTGTTCGTTATAACCGTTGTTTACTGTAATTTGAAACTGTTTCATCATACGCGAAATACTAGACGATATGCGTTGGAAAATCTCGGGGCTCCGAGAAGAGCCGAACGGAAGTTCGGTGTCAAACACACAGCTCACATGATCATCCCGGTAGAATTGCCACTGAAGCCCTAGCGCGGGATAGCAATCTGGATGGACGGGTACGCTTCTGTACGCGTTCTTTAAATCCAGTTTCGCCTCCTAACCCCCTTGTGGTAACATGGCTGTCGCCTTATCTAGGGTGTCGTACACAACAGAGTTCTTAGTGACGTAGTCATTCACTGATGACCCTTCCGGTCTACTACAGTCATGTACAACGCGCACATCAGAATTGCCTTTTGGGATAGCTGCCATACTGCTGACGATCGTTGGCTTTTTATGGGTAATAATATAGTTTTCTTGTGAAATTTCACACTTCAATCGACTTTCAACTTTATCGCGAGTTTCAGGAGTAAGAGCCGATTTCGATTTTTTACAATACACGTCTTTAAACTGAACATTTCTATCTATAACCCTGTAGTTATGTTTAATGCCCCCTAAAATGAATTTTCTATCTAAGTCTCCCTGAAGTTCCCTGTCCCGCCAATCAATACGCTCACAAAGGGGGTTGGGCTGTAGACCTGGGGGAGATGGCTCTAATAGTTTCCCGACCGCTGATGGGAATCGTTATGCTGAAACTGGGGGAAGGGGCCGTGGCACTGAATACACACGTGCATATATTTGCAGTTCTGAAATTTACACCCTCCTGGAATTTGGAAATTTAAACAAACTGTATCCTTTCCCTGTGAGTTCTGTTTGCCTCATTTTACATTTTTCCGTCCCATGTCCCGAATCTATATGACACCAGAGTTTTCCTTGTTCTGTCTGTGTTTTCCTTGTTCTGCCTGTGTTTTCCGGTGAATGTGGTCAAATGTCATTCCAGATGATACGGTGTGGGACTGTAAATAGTCGCCGATACAGGCTGTGTACTCAAGGTATTCACACAGTCCCTGGGAGTCTAAACGCTTCTCCAAGTAGTCGGAGAATGTTGTTGCGTTCGCTGAGATCCACTGTGACATTGAAAATTCTTCTAGCTTTAAATTGCTATTTCCTCTCTTTATGACAATTTGGAGACTACTATCTGATAAACCAAAAGTCTCTTCGTTATCTTGGACTACACATTTAGGCCGGCTAATAAAGTCATGTATAAAGTATGTTTTCTCACCTGATTTAACCGTAGTTGTGGTGGTAACACCATTGCTCGCTTTATCGTCTGTATGTAAGATGTCATTCAATAACGCCGACCCGATAGCTTCTAGTAGTTGCTTCAGTTCGGAATTTGCCGCTAGGTCTTTAGTCAGTGAGTTTATTTCAGTAAAGAGGCCACCGGCCCATTATACAATATGGATACAGTGGATTACAACAATAGCAGGCGCCAGATAATACAAGTGATATACATAGTGAAACAATTGAATTATTGCATACATTTAAAAAACTGTTGTTTCTGAAAAGCAAGAAAAATATATTAAGCTAATTTATGAATAACATGTTCATTTTGGCAAAACATAAGCTGCAAAATTTATCAAATGAAGGTTGTGAATGGTAGTACTTAGGTATAAGACTATTTCTCAGATCTGAGTAAATTTGACATTCAATGCAGAAATGATACTCAGTTTCAATTACACGGACTACACAAAATGGACATAAGCGTTGATCTCTAGAAAGACCAATTTTTCTACCTTCTTCAAGCATTAGGTTATGGCTAGAACAACGGAAAGAACTAAGAGCAAATTGATATACTCTAACAGGTATTGATGTTAAATATCTTTCTAATACAATGCATGGTTTAATTTGTGAATACATTGTAAGTTTGGAAAATGTTTTTAATTTACTTAACCAAGTTTGCTGATCTATATCTATACATCTTTGCTTAAAACAAACAATAAACTTATTAACATTTGGAACATCTTGATTACACCAGACAGAACCAAAACCATATGATGATAATAATTGTTTTACATGAAAAGCCCAACATTCAATACCTTTATCCGCCAAGGACACTTGATAATCATGGACATTTTTCAAAATAGGATTATCAGTTTGAAATAACAATCTAGTCCAATTTTTAATAATTTTCATATATTGGTTTACTTTAAGTGAATAACAACCTATCTCCCCCCTTGCAACAATATTAGGTGTACTCCGTCTTAAATGTAAAAGCTGTTTACAGAAATTGTCATGGAATGTATTAATATCAGGTGAAGGATGAACCCCCCAGACTTCACTGCCATACAACAAGATTGGTAGAAGCTTGACATCAAATACATGAGTCAAAACATGTAAAAGTAACTTATGAAAATCGATAATGTTTGTTTTTAGTGACTTCAAAACTTTATTGGCCTGGAGTGTTCGAGTTTTCTGTGTATTAAACCATGAACCAGAGCTTGAAAGATGTACACCTAAATATTTAAACACTGAAACTATTTCAAGCGGACATGTATTTAGAGAAAATAATTCATATTTCTTTAATCGACCGCCTTTGCGAAAGACAATTACCTTGCTCTTGACATTATTTATTTGCAGCTGCCATTTATCACAATAATTGGAAAGTTTATTTAATATCCTTTGAAGACCAATAACTGTACTATCTATTACTACAATGTCATCTGCAAAAAGCAGCATAAATAACTGAAGAGTACCTATACTAATACACCATTGCTTATCTTGTTGCAAAAAATCTACAATGTCATTGATAAAGAATGAAAATAAAAATGGTGCCAACTGGCAACCCTGTCTAACTCCAAATGAACAGTCAAAGAATTTAGTAAATCCAGAGTTCAGAGACACGCATGATTTCACATTTTCATACATATTTCTAAGTAATCTAAAAACAGAACCTTTAATATTACCAGTCCAAAGTTTGTACATCAGAGCACTATGTGACACAGAGTCAAAAGCTGCTTTTAAATCAGTAAAGGCACAGTATAGGTCTTTAGTGGTAGCATGGTTATCTTGCTGCTGTTGTTGGTGGTCATGACAAGGGGATTTCATGTCTTCAACCACTTTCTCAAGACGTTTCGCCGTGCCATCTTGAAACCTAACTCGGCAATATCGTCTTTAGTTAAGTCTAAAAGTTGACATGGCGCGACGATCTCTTCCGCCAGCAATTTCGAGATAGAGCTATCGCTGAAACATTGCTCTTCCAAACGGGTTTCGAAATCGACCCTCTCTTTGGACGCCATTGCTCGCGAGTCTTACTTTGTCGCCTCGTGGTAGCAGAAGCACGTGCGGATCGTGACCTGAGCAGCGGATCGGCTCAGTTGTGCTTACCGAGTTAAACCTAAATAAAGCTTTACTCATTATTTACCACCATAAATCAATCAATTACTTTTAACGCAGAAATCAGAAGATTGTTTTAAAATCACCTACGTTTGTACCTTTAAATTGCGTTTTAAATAAAAAGTGAGAAAAGTTCAACATTCCCCCTATGGTATAATTTGAAAAGTGACTGGGAACATCTCCTCGCGCTCCTACCATGATTCGGCTGGAGTGTTGCTAAAAGCGTCAAAACCAAAAGTTCATTCAATGAATGAAGTAATGTTTAATGGAAGTGTGTCGTCGTAGATGCTAGTACCGCAGTTAACGGTGTAGAGTTGCCACCCGTAGGCGTGCCAGACTCCAGTGAACGTGGGTTCGAATCCATGTCTCGCCTTGGTTAGGTCTCCAGGTTTGCCAGCATCATATAATGGTCGTGGGTTAAAAACCTGCATCGCCTTGCACTTTCCTCCCACATTAAGCTGACACACCGTGATATAACATGATTGCTGTTAAAACGGCATTAAAAAAGTGACTTCCTCGTGAATTCATCTTCATCCAATTGCGTGGATCGATGCTCATGATGTCAATAACTGGATTGTCTGGTCCAGACTCAATTATTTACAGACCGCCGTCATATAGCTGGAAAATATTGCTGAGTGCAGCGTTAAACAACAAACAAGCAAACTGAACATCCTCACGATCCCTTAAACTCAATGTTTGTGTCTGCATGTGTAGACGAGGAAAGTGGAGTCATTCTACAGGCCCTCCGAGCTGCCGTGGCTGGAGGAGGGGAAGGAGACGGGGCAGTCGTCCACAGCCCACCAGATCAGCATGGCCCTGGTCAAGGTGAACATGACCACGAGACTGACCATGGGCCACCAGCTCCGGGAGATGCTCCAGTCGTGCTCCATCAACGGGGAAACCTGCGGCTCCAAGTGAGTGGGTCACAATATAAGTTCAAGACCCTCTGTTGTCAGTGTGGCTTAATTGTTTGTAAAGTTTTGGTGAGAGTTGATGGATTCTTCCTCACGATAGTAAAATGGGACCAGGAATCACCAAAGATAGAGGACACCAAACAAACCTCCTACCAAACGTGTACTCAGAGTACTCATATCCCATTTGATATGTTCCTTCAACTTTGCCTACGGGTTCCAAATTTATATTCTACTTCCAATGATCAATTTACCGTGGTTATAGTTCGTGACACAAAAATGGTCACTTTAAATTAGTCACTAAACTTGTCACCAAATGATTATTCAGTTATTATGTCTTTCTGCGTTAACAAAAGTTGCAGCAACTCTAGATGCGCGTATGAACCCGCGAATGTGTATAATTGTTTGTACCAAGTTATGTATCGTTTCCTTACCCTAAACGAAACCAGTTACAAAAAGGGTGATCACATCGAGTGATGCTAAGCTTTTCAGGGGGTGGAGGGCTAATGATTAGTACTAACTGTTACAAAGATATATTTGGCCAACTGTTAACATTCATTGTGTTGTGTAAACGTGACGTTAATAGCAATGTGCCTCATGTTAATTGAAGTGTTAATGCAGAGGAAGGCCCAAATTGGCGCAGGTCATAGCCGTATTCCAGTTTGCTGAAGCAAGAGTCTATGAGTTGAACGCTGCAAAAAACAGTATTTCAGTTAGAGTCATGTAGGTGTGACGTGGAGTACAACTTTGGTTATAAGTTCGAGAACGAACATGCAGCTGACGTAGGATGTAAGATGTTGACTATTTATGTTTTTATCGAGAATAATTTCACCCATCCGTATTTAAAACTGCCTATGTTGTGTTTTCCAGGAACTTCTCGATGTTCTACAATAACTTATACGGGAACTGTTACACATTCAATGGATTCAAGACGGCTACTGGAAGACGCTCGTTTAAGTCGGGACCGTTGTTTGGTAGGCGATATCTTATTCCATGTGACAGTCCCAAGTCACAGTCCTATGTCACAATCCTATGTCACAGTCCCGTGTCACAGTCCCAAGTCACAGTCCCATGTCACAGTCCCAAGTCATAATCCTATGTCACAGTCCCAAATCACAATCCCATGTCACCACCCTATGTTACAGCCCCATGTCACCACCCTATGTTACAGCCCCATGTCACCACCCTATGTTACAGCCCCATGTCACCACCCTATGTTACAGCCCCATGTCACCACCCTATGTTACAGCCCCATGTCACCACCCTATGTTACAGCCCCATGTCACCACCCTATGTTACAGCCCCATGTCACCACCTTAAGTTACAGCCCCATGTCACCACCCTAAGTTACAGCCCCATGTCACCACCCTATGTTACAGCCCCATGTCACCACCCTATGTTACAGCCCCATGTCACCACCCTATGTTACAGGCCCATGTCACCACCCTATGTTACAGCCCCATGTCACCACCCTATGTTACAGCCCCATGTCACCACCCTATGTTACAGCCCCATGTCACCACCCTATGTTACAGCCCCATGTCACCACCCTATGTTACAGCCCCATGTCACCACCCTATGTTACAGCCCCATGTCACCACCCTATGTTACAGCCCCATGTCACCACCCTAAGTTACAGCCCCATGTCACCACCCTATGTTACAGCCCCATGTCACCACCCTATGTTACAGCCCCATGTCACCACCCTATGTTACAGCCCCATGTCACCACCCTATGTTACAGCCCCATGTCACAGTCCTATGCCTAGGTCACGTGCCTATCGTCTAAGGGCACCAAAACAATACAAAAATATCACAAAACATATTTTTCAGGACGTCCCGAGGACAATTAAATATATTAAATCTACGTCGTTATATACACGTGGTTCTTCAACGAAATATTGCTTATTTATCTGTAAATGCTTATCAAAGAAATCAAGTCTATCTCCTTTGTAACCATCACAAACTGAAACCACAGCTCCGAGGTGTTACCAAAGATAATGAGTGACTTGACATGGCACCTGTCATTGCCTACAAACCAACGTATGTCACTGTACAATAACATTGCAGTAGCATTCTCCGTCAAAATAACTCGCATGCACGAGAGACGTTAACATTTACTGTTAATTGTTGCCTTCAGTTGCTAATGTAATACAATCGAGTATGTTCTATTCTCAAGTAGTACCAGCACAGAGAAATACACGTCCACTTCAATAATCGTGTCAGTTTCTATGTCTAGCATATATCAGTGAGGTGTCCTCTGTTGGCAGGATTGAGTTTGGAACTTGTGATCGAGCAAGACGAATACATAGGATCTCTGTCGAGAACAGCCGGTGCCAGGCTGACGGTCCATGAGCCGTACCAGTTTCCATTTCCGGAAGACAACGGGATCGACCTTTCCCCGGGAAAGGTCACATCCGTCGGGCTACAAATGGTAAGCTCAAAGTTATGACATTTTGTCCTCAACTGCCACGAACCCTAAAACACGGCCTTGTCTACACGGTGTAGGGATAACCGCTTTGATATTCTTAGTAGGATGAGGTTGGGGTGTGGGAGGTGGAGGGGAGTTGGAGTGAAGAAATATAATTCTGCCCCAGGTTTATAAATACGACAACCAATTGTTCGCTAGACATGGAGGATGCAATAAAGAAGCATTTGTTAATATAAAGAAACCTTTTTGGTTCCTCCTTTCAGAGAAAAACAGTTGTGTTTTGGAGCAATGACATAAAATATCCTTTCTAAATATTATTAACAAAAATCATCCCACGAACCACCCAACATCCTACTCCTCCCCACCAACCACCGGCCACCCCCGACGTACTCGCTAGACGCGCTCTCAAACTTGTCGTTCCCTTAGCGTGTTAAAACGTCCCAAGAGTAAACATTGTCATTTGGAACAAGTATGTGTAAACATGTCCCTGTACATTAACGTACAGCCTCACATAGTTCCATACACATGGCAGTCATGAAGCTCATTACATGGATCGCTTCTTCAACACGATTGCATGACTGCGGAGCTTAATTATAAGTATTTATTGAACCGTTCTTCCGTTTCACATTGTCGATGTCTGTCGATTGTTATGACATGATCAATGTGCCTGGGATTGTTGTTTAGTTTGGCTTATGGAAGAAAAGAAGGAACTGTGGCTTATGACGTTGGTTCAAGTCACACAATCATATGTCTAGGTAAAGCGTGTAAACATGTTACTTATTTATCAATGATCCTTGCAGAAACTCCCAGAGGATACATACATGCAACAAAGAAAACCTTGTATTGCATTTTATTGTGCTGTCAAATCAGATAACCATCCAACAAAATGGGTTTCTAATGAAATTGCTCTTATTTCTGATTCTGTGGGTTGTACATAAATGTTCTTCTCATATGACCTTATGTCTAGTAATCAATGTTTTATTGAACAATGGAGAATATTGGAGTCTGAATATGACAAACAACACTGAAGATAAGCGAGCAAACTCAAAATGCAATGACGTCGTTTTGTCGTATCTGCCATTAAAACATGAAACAAACCCAACAGACTGAAGCGAAATCTTCCCACAAACATGAAACGAACACGACCTGTCGTAATCCGATCAAAAAGGCCATACGGTGGCATCTCATTCTCTGCAGTACTGGTAGTGACATCAGTGGCTCCCCCAAAGTTGGAGCAGCGAACTTAATTTCTTTCTTCAAAGGAAATGTGAACGGATTCATGTGAGTCAGCGACAGAATGAGCGCCATGCTATGTTCCTTTCAAGAACTCGACAGATTCGGTTGAGGAAGTGCCATGATATGGGAAGTCATTTCTTGTTAACATATACTGAACTGCAAAAGAAACGTCACCATGGATAGATAAATGAGAAACCTTATTTGTCCAAACACTGTAAACATACTTTGAGACATATTAAAAGATGAGACTTGGCAAAACTGATCATCAAGGTTGAAATTAAAGTGTCAAATGTTCTTAAAGTGAAACACAACACTAGCCTCTGAGAAAATGGCATCACAAGTCAATAACTCGTGTAACCGCCATGTGCATTGATGACTGCCGTGAAACGTCGATACATAGAATGAATGAGGCGGTTGATGAAGGCCATAGGCACTTGAGCCCACACTCTGAGGAGGAACGCCTGACGCAGTTCAGCTGCAGTTGTCGGCCTTGGTCGGACGTCATTCAGCCGTCTTTGAATCCCGTCCCACAGGTGCTCAATGGGATTTAAATCGGGACTGAGGGCAGGCCACAGCATGGTTCTGATGCGATTCTGCTGGAGGAAGTCTCTTGTTGTTCTCGCAGTGTCGACAGGGGCGTTATCATGCTGAAAGTCGTGGTTGCGGCGACGTGCCAAATGAAATATTGCGTGTGGTCTCAAGAGTTGATCAATGTACCGAGCTGCTGTGACACCAATGCCTCTCCCTGGACCGATGTTCTGGAAGACCACAGGGCCGTCCCTCTGTGCAAGACTAATTCCACCCCACACCATGATGCTCGTACCATCCCACGTGTCTCTCCTTACAACACAGGCATCCGAATAACGTTCCCCACGGCGGCGTCAGACTCTCTCTCTCTCTCTCTCTCTCTCTCTGCCATCTGCTGTTCAGATACAGTAACGACTCTCCTCTGAGAAGAGGACTCTTCTCCACTGCTGTTGGCGCCAATGCTGGTGCTGTGTAGCCCACTAAAGACGGCCCCGGCGATGACGTGGTGTCAGAATGGGTCCTCGGTGTGGCCTGTGGCAGTGGAGGTGTCTGCTCGTCAATCGTGTCCGCACTAATGTGTCGCTGGTGTGTCCCCATGGTCTGTCGAGCAGTTTCCGCAGCAGTAACAAAGCGATCTTGAAGATGCTGTGGCAAAATCTGACGATCCTGACGTCGGGTGGTGACCCTTGGTCTTCCACTACGTGGTCGGTCATCAGTAGTGTTGGTGGTCTGGTACCGTTGCAGGAGCCCTTACGTGGACTTGATATGCATTGGCTACTTACCGGGCGATTTGTCCAGCTTGCAATCGTCCAAGGGCTTGGTGTTGCTGATTTCTTGTCAATCTTGGCATGTGGTAGCAATTCAATAACGAATAAATGTTATCCCATCTGGGCGGATATTTATAGGGCAAGAAATGGTGAAACGCATGTGCATTTCAATTTGCATGGAACTCACGTGCATCGGGTTACCACGGCCGTTGCCGTGATGCGTTTGGGCGATCGGTTTTATTGTAATCTGCTTTGTTATTTTATCATACAATATCATTTTTCCGGACAAGGTCATGTTAAATTTTAGAAACTTTGACAAAAATTACCCAGATGTTTAAATGACAACTTCCCATGCAATGTTACTTGGGGTGACGTTCCTTTTGCGGTTTAGTATATATTGTTTATACTCAGGTCAATCTAACAGGTGTGCGTTATCGTGACATCTTACGCCCTCACGTTGTCCCGACTATTCAAGCACCAGGCGCTGTTTTTTAGCATGGCAATGTCCGTCTCCACACAGCATGAGTCTGTACTGATTGCTTGGAAGTTCCGAAAATACACGTTGTACCGTGGCGGTCAAGGTCACCGGAACTCCGACTTGGAATGTTCATGAACCGACTCATGAAAGACTTCTCCTTTAAGGTTTCATGAACTTTTACGGCGGGTAAGGCAAAACTAAGTGAAGCAATCAGTATATTGAATGGAAGTGTAGTAAATATTGATTGCGCTGGAAAAGATCCTTGCCACCTATTTAACTGTAAGACACACTGTCAGCACCATACCAATGCTCGTGGGCTTCCACAAAGTGGTAAACGTCTACGACCTGCATTATTTCAGGTTTTCCTCCCTCATCAACCTGACATGCCGTGATGTCAATGTAACCCCCGCGACACTGTCTCGGGTTTTAATTTAAAAATATACAATTGACAAAATATTCAAAAAAAACAATATGGATCAACAAACGTATGTATAAAACACCATTAAGTTCATTTACAAACATACTACAAACTGCAATACAGGCACGCAATCATTTACAATAACAAGTAATGTGTTTATTTATGTCTATGTAACAAATCATTAAGTTACATAATAATTTAAAGACGCCTTACGTTACTCTAACTTAATGACCTTCATCACTATTACTAAAGACTGACAATAATTTCGAAAAATATACTCACACGCAAAAGAAACGCAAATGGTTTTAAGCAAATAGGTAACAAACACGGAACCATAAATTGATACGAGTTTTAGCATGCAGTGAAGCCTGATGGTGTTATCAATATTTTTGGTTGCATTTTGGAAGCCCCGAGTAAAAACGCAACATAAAAAACGAATCGCCAAAACGCACAATTTCAATGAATATGTGGGTATCATGCACCCATTTCTCGCGAAATCGAAAATGCACGAACTGTCACGAACTGTTGTTGGTATAAAACTGTGGCCGATTCTTGGACCTACCACTCCTTGGTCAACAATGCCACGCCTAAGCTCTAATTCAGAGAAACCAGGCTCTCGGACGTTTGGAAGCTGGAGAGTCTGTCATTTCAACGTTAACATAACCACAATTTACCGTCTCCTGCGTCGATACAATGCTACACAGACCACAGATGACCTTCCTCGGAGCGGTCGTCCTAGGGTCACCACATCTCGACAAGATCGGCAGATTACCCGTCAACACCAGCGACATCCGTTCCTAACTGCAAGTGAAAGTGCTCGACAGACCATAGGAACACATAATCGACACATTAGCCGGGACACTGTGATCCGACGTCTCTGTTCCAACAACCTCAGATGTCGCCGACCAGCACGTCGTCCTGTTCTCCAACCATGGCATCGACAAGCACGACTTCAGTGGGCACAGGGTCATCACAATTGGCGTCATCGTGAGTGGAGGCATGTCATCTTCTCTGATGAAAGTCGCATTTGTGACCTCAATGCAGACGGAAGAGTCAGAATTTGGCGGCGTCGAGGTGATCGTTTCGCTGACACAAACGTTGTGGAAAGGGATCCATGGGGTGGACCTAGCGTCATGATATGGGCAGGGATTGGACTTAATGCGAGACTTGGACCCATGTGCTTTCTGAATGTTGGTCAAGGTCGGGGACACGGCGTCACTGCTCAGCGGTATATCGATCAAGTGATCAGACCCCACGTTGTTCCATTTTTTGCACAACATCAACGCATTTTCCAGCAGGACAACGCTCGTCCCCATGTTGCCAGAGCTACCATGGCCTTTTTGCAACAACACAACATCCGTGTTCTTACCTTGGCCAGCCCTCAGCCCTGATCTGAACCCCATCGAACACTTGTGGGATGAGGTTCAAAGACGCACTGGGAATAATAGTCCAATGAAAATAATGTATATCAATTGCAAGTGATTCCGTGGCATTTGATTGGCTAACCAAGCAAATGCTTGAAAAATGCCACGCCTACTATCGGACTACTGTTTTCTGATTGGCTGACGACGGAATGGGAGGAACTTGTGTTGCATTATTGGGCTGAACGATGTCACTTATTTCACATGTTTATCTATAGTTTTTGGGTGTTGATAATTAATAAGCACATAATTTTTTTCATTTGTTTATAGAGTTGACTTCGTAAAACCGCCGTCATATAGCTGGAATATTGCTGAGTGCGGCGTTAAAGAACAAACAAACAAACTTAAAACCGTAATTAACAGTGTGCACACAGGGTTTACGTTTATACTACCATAAACACAGAACACATTGAAGTGAACGAATGTATGCCGCCTGCCAGGGACAATTTTCATATGAGTTTGCATTGTTTACTTTTCTAACTATTACTTTAATACTGTAGAGGTGAACTTACCCACTTTCGTTTCATCCCAAATAAATGCTCCTAAGTCTGTAACATCTCTATGTGATGCAATGTTTGTGTGATCAGAAAGTCGTGAAGAAGAAGGGACATCCATACAGTAATTGCGTCAGAAGAGGGAAGATCGCATACAAGGGAAAGTACTCTGTGGAGGTAAGTACATGCAACCCAGTAAATAGAGTAGCACATAGAGTCACACCATGACCAACTTACCATGCGGGTTTTGCGGCCATAGAACAAAATCAAGTTATTTTGACATCTGGATCTCATTACCAAATGTCTGCGTTTAACGGATTGTCGGTGTGACTAAAGAGACATCGTGTTCGATGCGCGTCGATCCCAGGCCGCGTCATACAAAAAGATGTTAAAAGATGGTACTTGTTGTTACCCTGTCTGGCGCACGACATTAAGGGGCTAGAACAAGGACTGGTCGACTCGTAGTCAGTATACTGTGTCTGAGTTGGGTATTCATGTTAGGCATCTCAGTGGGCTAACACTATAAATCGGTATTAGTCCGGACTAGTAGAATCAAACACACACACACGCACGCACGCACGCACGCACGCACGCACGCACGCACGCACGCACGCACGCGGATTCAAACAGTTTGCAAATCGGTTTTTCGATACATACCTCAATGAACCGATAAAATACACAGTCAATCCTTTAATGAACCTTCACAGAGTACGGGCTCTCACAATGTTTGGTCCTCACTCTATGTAGGTTCTTACTCCAAGGAACTCACACAAAGTGAAAGTCAATTCTTATAATGTTTCATGTCACTATTTTTACCTCAATAGACTTAGACTTTGTTCTGTACACAATTATACTTAGTACGTGTGACTTCTTGTTTACACTGACAGCCATACAACAACCAGCTGTATCGCGGAATAAAATAGTTCCTCAAACCTAGAGGTGACATGTATGCTCAACATGCTCAACAGGAACAACTTGTGTGGACAAATGTACTCAAATAATATTATCATTAGATGGGAGATGTCTGTTACGAACTACCTCAGTAAGTCAGTCAGTCACAATAACAGCGCGTCGTAATACATTTACATCAAGTCCAAGACGTCAAAATGGCCGACACGATAAACGTGACGGGAGAGATTTCCGAAGTTTTTAATGAACCTGTGACTATTACAAGTGTTAGTCATCACTGATCAGTTCGCCGATCATTGAAAGGTGATTGTAGAGATGGCCAGTGCAGAGGACGTTTCGGCCTGTCACAACAGGTCAAGGTTTAGGACACTTTGTGCGACCATCTGCACCTTTGCCCTCCCCCTAACGGCTTTGGTAGGTTGTTGTTCTAAAGCTACTGTGGTTGATATACAGTAGAGCTATACTATTTCATGTATAACATTAACACACAAAACTGTTGTAATTACATATTCTAGTAAAACTAACAACGATCTTGCGTTTTTCACAAGCAATTGTCTTTAAATATTCGTTTCCTACTCATCTACAGGCATGTCGGAAGACGTGTCTCCAGACATCCATCGTGAAGGGCTGCAACTGCACCGACACCCGGTTTTCGAACGCGGACGCGTTCGACGGCAGACCATGTGACAACGAGGAGGACTGTGAGTTGTAGAGACGAAACTTGATCCTTTCCTGAAATCAATGAGCTGATTACATTGCGCTCATTGTCCTGATCACCTGTCCCCACTCCGACCAGTCTACCTGTACACGATCATGTCACGATCATGTCATGCCAGAGTATAATTATATAGATTTCATCGTAATGTAACCTAGGTCTAGTAAATGGACGTATTTCTACTCAAGATTGTGTTCCCGACATTCTTGTTAATAGATATTTTTACTACTTTATAACCTGTTGTCAAATCCTATTTTTAAGAGTATACTTTTTTTGCCCGGCATTTTATGTTATCAGTTTCATTTATAACCTAATCAGTGTCACATTAACAAGTTCAGTCTCGACAACATGTTATTACTTTCACATATGTTTTCAGTTTCATATATATGTGTTCAGTCTCAACAATATGTTATTACTTTCACATATATTATCAGTTTCACAAATGTGTTCAGTCTCAACAATATGTTATTAGTTTCATATATGTTATCAGTTTCACATATGTATTCAGTTTCACATACGTGTGTTTAGTTTCAACAATATGTTATTAGTTGTCAGTTTCATACATAATATGTTATTAGTTTCATTAATATGTTTTCAGTCTCATTTACATATGATAATAGTTTAATCTTTTTAGTATTAGTTTCATATATATGATATAGGTTTCATGGCTATGTTATAAATATCTTGTGACATTATAATGAGTTAATGGGGTTCACATTAACGAGGTTTCACCGATGTCATGGACGTGAATTTATGTGTCTTTATCAGATAGGTGCATCAACAGCGTCTACCAAGCCTATGCCAGGACTGGCGAGGAATGTGAGTGTCCACCTCCATGCGAGTAAGTACAATTCTTCTAACATGCTATACAATTCTAAGATAACATATACCGTCTTACTACAAGCAAGGGGGGAGTGAGTGGTTATATTTGGTTACGCCACAATGTTTCAGTTACATCACGGTGTGTTAGCTTGATGTGGCTGGAAAGTCCATACCGTAAAACGTTTTGAAAGCTTTACTGAGGCCTTGAATGTTGTAACACCTTCTGAGCAAGAGTTGTATGACGCTCTTTGAAATCTTGGTAGAAAGAGCACGCTCGATTGTACCTCAAATATTGTGAAATGTGAACACCAAGGGTTGGAGCTGGAGGAATATTGCTAGAGAAAAAGTGAAACTTTTATGGTAGACATGTGGTGGACATTTCTAAATTTGACGCATCAGTGACACAAACGATGTCCGAGTTGGTGAACAGTTGACTTGCCTTTACTTGTGTTTGTGACGGGTGTCTCTTGTTGGGCAGGATACGCTCACCTTTTCGCGAACACTTGGTATCATCATTATTTCGTAGTGATTCATAAAGACATGCTCATGATAAAGTCAGAATCGTACAATGGTACAATCGAATCTGATTTTAGCAGATATTTCTTGTGGCCGTAGAAAGGCGTTTTGTCGCTTTCATGTACTGTGGAACAATTTTCAATTAATTTGAAGAATTTGCAAGTTATCAACTAGAAACCATTTCATAACCGTTTCCATAAACTTCCAGATTGTATGTCTTGTATTTCAGATTGAATGTTTATCAACAAACCATATCTACTGCTGATTTTCCCTCGTTTGCCAGTCGGGTAAAAACATTTTTTACAAGATATTCATGATAATTTCAAAACGCCTTATTATTGCTTAGCTTTCATAATCATGATATTTGAATGTATTAAAGCAGATAAACATATGCCAGTGTCGCAGCGCCATGTCTCTGTTGACCTTCAGGACGCAGACCTACAATTGTCATGGAGATCCTTGTGACATATTGCACATGTGCGTTTCACCAGTGTCAGTATCACTTAGTGGCATCTAGCAAACATAATCCTTGTCACAAAAGTGATAATGCCGAGAGCGGCATTTTTCTGGTCCCTGTATGCCATGTGTTCATTTAACAAAATAAACTCAATAAACTCCTTTCTGTTCGTAGGATGAACTTCAGAGGCTGATAACCAACAGGACCGATCGGCTGAATGAGATACTGGGCACAAAAGAGAACATCAGGTTTGTATTATCAGATAGAATGTGTTCAGCATGACTGCGTCTGACGCCGCTACATCCGTCTCACACTACGAGTACATTCACACAAGACATGTTGGGTAAGACAGTGGAGCTTAATGAAAGAAAGAACTTTAATCAGTAGATGGCATCGAACACGGATGTCAAGCGTGGCGAGCAAACGCTGTAACTTAGGGCGACTCTCTTTTCTTTCAGAGTCAAAGAGCAGAATACTTTTTTTCAAACAGAATCAGCGACGTATAAGCATTTTGAGGGCGTCAGAGCTATACTTGTATGTGGTTGGTATTTGCATAAATATTTTGGTCCCGTCATACCCTGCTGAATGTATCCCACTGTGTTCGACTTACAGCAGGAGGTCTTGTAGATCTCGTCATACCTTGCTTAATGTATCCCACTGTGTTCGACTTACAGCAGGAGGCCTTGTAGATCCCGTCATACCTTGCTTAATGTATCCAACTGTGTTCGACTTACAGCAGTAGGCCTTGTAGATCCCGTCATACCTTGCTTAATGTATCCAACTGTGTTCGACTTACAGCAGGAGGTCTTGTAGATCTCGTCATACCTTGCTTAATGTATCCCACTGTGTTCGACTTACAGCAGGAGGCCTTGTAGATCCCGTCATACCTTGCTTAATGTATCCCACTGTGTTCGACTTACAGCAGGAGGCCTTGTAGATCCCGTCATACCTTGCTTAATGTATCCCACTGTGTTCGACTTACAGCAGGAACCTTCTGCAGGTGCAGGTCTTCTTCGAAACTCTCCAGTACGAGAAGATCACAGAGAAGGGGGCATACGCCGTGAGTCACGTGACACATAATGCAGATCATCACATCAGCTCGTTATTTCAAAGATATTTAGACATGATTCCTTTATTAACAAGCCATATTGGTAAATCTTACTTAATGATAAAGCCCTATTGGAAATTTGATTCACTTGTTTTGCTCTAGCTGGAGATATTCAACAGTTGAGACACGGTACGATACACACCGCCAGGTTACAGTATGCGCAAGGTATTCTGTGATGCCTTCTTTGTGCTTCCAGTTTGAGAACTTGTTGTCGGACATCGGAGGCCAGGCGGGACTATTCGTAGGCTGCTCGGTGATCACCCTTGTGGAGGTGGTGGAGTTCCTGGGAAACATATGCTGGCTCCTTGTCAGGAAGATGGCCTCCAGAGAGAAGCCAAAGTCTTCGGGGAACATCATCAAAGTGGCGCCGATTGATTAGGTTTCCGAATCACATTCACATGGCCACATTGTTTGTGTTCATTTTGTGTGTCGGTCATCAAGTTAGAAATACATTATTTATTTACTTCGTGTAGTTTCGCCTTAATAAACCCTAGAACAATGTTTGCTTTGTCGACTCGAATACCCAGTGTATTGTGTTCGCCAATCTATTATCATATATCGAGGACCCATAGGCCATCATAGCTTTTGTCTCGGAATCACCACCACCAGATGTTTCTCTGACCATAAGCTTAGCACACAGGCACAGCACAGACTTCAAGATCGGTACAGGGTTGACTCCAAGATCGGTACAGGGTTGACTCCAAGATCGGTACAGGCTTGACTCCAAGATCGATACAGGCTTGACTCCAAGATCGATACAGGCTTGACTCCAAGATCGATACAGGCTTGACTCCAAGATCGGTACAGGGTTGACTCCGAGATCGGTACAGGGTTGACTCCAAGATCGGTACAGGGTTGACTCCAAGATCGGTACAGGCTTGACTTCGAGATCGGTACAGGGTTGACTCCAAGATCGGTACAGCCTTGACTCCAAGATCGGTACAGGCTTGACTCCAAGATCGATACAGGCTTGACTCCAAGATCGGTACAGGGTTGACTCCAAGATCGGTACAGGGTTGACTCCGAGATCGGTACAGGGTTGACTCCAAGATCGGTACAGGGTTGACTCCAAGATCGGTACAGGCTTGACTCCGAGATCGGTACAGGCTTGACTCCAAGATCGATACAGGCTTGACTCCAAGATCGATACAGGCTTGACTCCAAGATCGGTACAGGCTTGACTCGAAGATAGGTACAGGCTTGACTCCAAGATCGGTACAGGGTTGACTCCGAGATCGGTACAGGGTTGAATCCAAGATCGGTACAGGCTTGACTCCGAGATCGATACAGGCTTGACTCCAAGATCGATACAGGCTTGACTCCAAGATCGGTACAGGGTTGACTCCAAGATCGGTACAGGCTTGACTCCAAGATCGGTACAGGGTTGACTCCGAGATCGGTACAGGGTTGACTCCAAGATCGGTACAGGGTTGACTCCAAGATCGGTACAGGCTTGACTCCGAGATCGGTACAGGCTTGACTCCAAGATCGATACAGGCTTGACTCCAAGATCGATACAGGCTTGACTCCAAGATCGATACAGGCTTGACTCCAAGATCGATACAGGCTTGACTCCAAGATCGGTACAGGCTTGACTCCAAGATCGGTACAGGCTTGACTCCAAGATCGGTACAGGGTTGACTCCGAGATCGGTACAGGGTTGACTCCAAGATCGGTACAGGGTTGACTCCGAGATCGATACAGGCTTGACTCCAAGATCGATACAGGCTTGACTCCAAGATCGATACAGGCTTGACTCCAAGATCGGTACAGGGTTGACTCCAAGATCGGTACAGGGTTGACTCCAAGATCGGTACAGGGTTGACTCCGAGATCGGTACAGGGTTGACTCCGAGATCGGTACAGGGTTGACTCCGAGATCGGTACAGGGTTGACTCCAAGATAGGTACAGGCTTGACTCCAAGATCGGTACATGGTTGACTGCAAGTGTTACCCAGTATGCTTGTTAACAGAGTCGACTAATGAGGATCGAGAGGTTATCTATTTCATTGTATAACATACAGCCCTATTGCCCATGCTTTTAACCAATGGTTTGATTATCTAGACTTGATTTAAAACCACGGGGGCTCCCATTCGTGGGGTGCCCTGGTGTGATATTATTGCTGGAACATTGACAGCGCCAAACACACGTTAAACTTCAGTAATGTAAAAAGATTTATATTTTACCAATTTCGATACAGACTCTCCGTATTTTCGACAGTAAAGTACCCACCCTGCCTTTATATATTTATCATGTCTTTTTACACGATTACATGTATTGTCATACATAATTTTAAATATATATATATTCATAGAACAGTAAAATAAAAATAAAAATGCCGCCCATGTTCATGTTAATATGTATTTAGATGTGTCTTGCATACAATCAATAATATACGCTGCACACGTTGTCGATGAACTACGTTTGGGGACACTATTACCTGATAGATTCGACGGCGATATAGCTGTATGCTAACCGTACGCTGCGAGATATTTCAAACGTTTAATCCACGTCAAGACCGCGCCATAGCTCTATACTGAACACACAGGCGCCAAACTTTTCCCAACCGAATTTCGTTTTTTTTTAAATCAACGAATGTTCATAAGGATAATTTTCCTCAACCACTCCACCCATTTGGCATGCCGTATTTCCTCTATTAGACGCCCGGGCTTCTATTCATTCCGGACAAGCCTTTGACCCGGCGTCAATTAGAGGTCCGGCGTCTATTGGAGGCCCTGCTTCTATTAATATTTTCCGACACACGTGGAGTTACCGGAAGAGAAAGGGAGTCCTCATTATGTAATTTAGGTCCCAAAAAGGGATCATTAATTGAACCAGTTGATCGACCCGGCGTCTATTAGAGGCCCGGCTTCTATTTTTTGCACTGAACAATTGACCCGGCTTCTATTAGAGTCCCGGCGTCTAATTGAGGAAATACGGTAATCTACAGACATAGAGTATTTCCTGCATAAACGGGTTTAGAATGTATATAGTGGTGTATTTCACGATAAAACTTTGTTCTATCATGACGTCATTTCTGGTGATTGGAACAAGCGCTTGCAGCTTGATGATGTCGTTCACTGGACGACGTTATTTTTTAGAAGGAAGTGTCTAGCGAGTTGTTCCCCATAGATGTAGCTTGATGACGCAATCGCTGAACGATCGCACCCAAAAGAGGAAGAGATATGATAATAAGTATTGGGAGAAAAGGTGCACATAATCGACTTGAAAAATGTGACAACCACACTTACCCCACCCTGTACATAACATGGAGTTGTCCGACATTGCCGAGGTCGGATTATATCCAGAGAGTCATCATTATTTAAACACGGGTAATATTTTTATCATATAATGGGTAGGTTTCTCGGCAGGATAAAGCCAACGGATAAAAACGATATCCGTTGGGGTCATATGCGGATAGAGATGCAAATATCAAGGGTCAAGTAGGGACTACTTTCACTGTTTATAAACAAACAGTCCCCCTCGTCATTCGGCGATCGAGTCAGAATTAACCATCGGGAATCTGGATAAACTACAGGGATAAATGCTATAATTATCAAAAGGACAGTCTAATATACTGAAAATCAGTGTCTAACTGTGACGTAGCTAAGCCATTTTATAAGTTTTGGCAACTTTGGAGATATAAATTTCGAAACAATTTTGTGAGGGCACTAGGCCTAGCCAAGCGGGATCAGTAGCCATATTTGTGCTCCACAAATTAAAATATTTGGATTTGGCCAAATAAACTGACGTCGAAAAGAAACTTTACCAGAGTTTGAAATCACTCTTGCTAAAAAGCAACAAAACATACATGCATGAAGTAACGTGTATTAAGAAGATCAATATTTCAACATAATCAACACTGAAAATGACAATCATACCGCGACCAAGAATGACTTCATAGGCCCCCAAAGTTGGGTGTGGTACAAAACTCGAGGTTTCAGAATCATGGACAATAGGCAGAGTACATAAACAATCGCTCACGTTCAATAACAAGTCATTAATAGCGTGTGTGACCACCAAATGCCTCAATACACGCAAAAACTCTTCGACGCACAGAAAAAGTCAGTCGTCTGATGAGGTCACGTGGGATTTGACGCCATTCTTCTTGGAGGGCCAAGATCAGTTCTTGCCGGTTGGCTGGAGAGTGTGGTCGTTGTCGAACACGACCATCCATCCAGTCCCAGAGGTGTTCTATGGGGGACACCGTGCAGGCCACGGCAGAGCGTTGACGTTGTTGGCTGCGAGGAAGTTAGTGACAATTCTGGCTGTATGGGCTCTAGCGTTGTCATGCTGATAAATGACACCACGTGGCAGCTGTTGGAGAAATGGTAGGACAACTGGACGAAGAATGTTATCCATGTAACGCTGAGCTGTCAAGTTTCCGTCAACGATGACCAGCGGTGTCCTCTCCTGCCCACAGATCCCTCCCCACCGCATGACACTCCCTCCACCATATGGTACGACCTCCTGCACGCAGCACGCCGCCGTTCGTTCACCCCTTCGGCGGTAAACACGTTGTCTTCCATCAGCCCTAAACATACAGAATCGACTTTCGTCAGTGAAGACCCTCTGCCAGTCACGTCGTTGCCAACGTCGTACAGTCCCATTCCATCTCAATCGCAGACGACGATGTTGCGCTGTCAATATAGCTGTCCTCTGTATGGTCTAAAAGCCCTGATTCCATGAGCCCTGAGTCTCCTGGCCACTGTCTGTCGATTAACCCTGTGACCTAAGGCATTTGTCGCCGATGACGTCACTGTCAGGAAGCGATTTCGGAGGTGCAGGGTACGCAAGTACCGGTCATCATGGGGCGGGGTCACCCTGGGTCTGCCTGTTATTGGCCTGTCAGCGGTCCGCCCTGCCTGGTTATGTGTTTTAGATAGACTTCGTCGGGAAAAAAATTATACTTTGTCTGAAATTTATATTTTCAGTTGGTAAAGTTTCTTTTGGACGTCAGTTTATGTTTGAATTGTTACCTTGTTTCGTTTTATCGCTGTGTGTACATCTGACTAAACTTCTTAACGTTATGACAGGACAGACCGACTGTCATAAGCGTCTGAACGTGGCCGTGACGTCTCATAGACTAGGGTTAGTGAGTGAGTGAGTGAGTTGGGTTTAGCGCCGCTTTTAACAGTATTCCAGTCATATCACGGCGTGTCAGCTTAATGTGGGAGGAAAGCCCGAAGTGATGCAGGTCTCAGACTTTTACCACTTCGGTGAAACCCACGAGCACGGTTATGGTGCTGACAAACCTAGAAACATAATCGGGGCGAACCGGGATTCGAACCCACAATCATAGGTTTCTGGCGTGCCCAAGGGACGCAACTCTGCACAGCGAATCGCGGCGCCTTAGACGACTGGGACACTCGTGCCTCCGACTAGGGTAAGAATAGCTTCCCTTTGACAAAGGCCAGTTACTCTAGCAGACAGACCGATGGATTGGCGAAAGACAATTAAAAATATTTTTTTTTTGCGTATATGTTGCTTCACCACTGTAT